TATATCAGACAATTCCACGGGACTAAGAAGAAGGAAGGCAGTTTTGGTTTTTATTTTACCTTTGCTGCTCATCCATCCGATGACCCCCCTGCAAGGCTTGATTAACAGAATAAGAAAATAACGAATATAACAGAGTTGGAAGGGACCTTGGAGGTCTTCTAGTCCAACCCCTTGGTCAGGCAAATGGCTGTCCAATCTCTTCTTAAAAGCCTCCAGTGATGGAGCACCCACAATTTCTGGAGGCAGGTTGTTCCACTGATTAATTGTCCTTGCTGTCAGGAAAATTCTCTTTAATTCCAGGTTGCTTCTCTCCTTGATTAGTTTCCATCCGTTGCTTCTTGTCCTGCCTTCGGGTGCTTTGGAGAATAGGTTGACCCCCCCCCTCTTCTTTGGGGCAGCCCTTCAAATATTGGAAGGCTGCTGTCACGTCACCCCTAGTCCTTCTTTTCATTAAACTAGATATACCCAATTCCTGCTTAAGATGGCTGTTGGGCTTCTGGACAAGGACACTCCAAGGTCATTCAATTTCTCCTTGGATATTCTTCGGGTGTTTATTGATGCCATCTCATCTTTCTCCTAATGTGGATAGCTGCCAGGCTCCGCTTCAGAAGGGCACTCAACTTCAGTTGATAGGTAGCTCGCCTGTTTCCCCCCCTTGGGTATAATTATTTTCCTTTGTTCACTGATTCAGCCCTGGGTGAGTCGAGTCCAAAAATGATCTGTGAATTTACCTACAAATGAGACATTTCAGAGAGTTGTTAGGCAAAGGGTTGATGCTAAATTTTCCCTCTCCTCCTGTCGCATTCATGTAAACAAATCATCACAAATTCAGTTGGTCCTCGGTTTACGGCCGCAATTGAACGCTCAATTTCTGTGCCCAAGTGAAACCCTTGTTGAGTGAATTTTGCCCCGTGTTACGACTTTCCTTCCCACAATTGTTAAGTGAATCACGCAGTTGTTAAGTTAGTAACAACAGTTGTTCAGTGAATTTGCTTCCCCCATTGAGTTTGCAAAAGGGGATCACATATCCCTGGGACACAGCAAGGGTCATAACTATGAGTCAATTGCCAATTTGTATCAGTGTGAATGTGTGAAAAATGCTCATCAGTCGCTTTTTTTCAGAACCGTTGTAACTTCAAACGGTTACTAAATAAATTGTTATAAGTCGAGGACTATCTGTAACTGATTCAGCCCTTGGTGAGTCTATTCCAAAAATTATTTGTGAGGTTAAATACCAAATTATAAATTTCAGAGACTTGTCAGGTATGGGGCCGATGCTAATTCCGCCCCCCACATCCTGTCGCATTCATGTCAACATTGCAAATAATGAGATATAATTACACTCCAATAGGATTAGTGGAGTTTTGAAGGGGGTCTAGGAACCCTGTTTGATAACAGACCCTTGTGAAATTTCCATGCTACTATTTCAGAAGAAATGAGCTTCTAAAATATTACCCTCCATAGTTCCCTTTTCACTAGAAGGTAGAGACCTAACTATGTAAGAATCATGGTAGTTCTGGAAACTCAGAGTATTTTTCTTTTCTTTTTGCAGAATATTTTTTTATTGGGGTTCTCCAGAGCTGTAACTCTGTTAACAGTTCATTTTGCTAAATGGTCTGGAAAAGATATCAGGATCAAACAGCAATGCTCTCCAGAATCTGGACCCCCCCTTTTAAATCGATTTCCCACTGGGGAGAAAAATGGACTTTATTATTTATTGGTTGGTTGGTTTCCCTGACGTAAATCTTTCGATTCCTCCAGAAAGCAATGCCTAACACTTTCCTCCCCATTTCCCCCCCCCCCCACAACAACAACTGTGTGGAGCAAGTTGTGTTAAGAGGGATGGCTAAGGGTGCAGTTGAATTGAGATTTTCCTGCTTCATCCATTGTTTCTCAACATTGGCAACTTTAAGATATGTAGACTTCAACTACCAAAAGCTGGCTGGGGAATTCTGGGAGTTGAAATCCGTACATCTTAAAGTTGCCATACTGGAACAGGTGAGGAATAGGACTAGAACAGTATTTTTCAACCTTGGCAACTGGAACACCTGGAACAGGTGAGGAATATAGGTGGCATAGGATGCCATCTCCGAAGTTAAGCCTTATCGGTGAAAGTCCTCAAAAGGATTCAGTTTCTGAAAAGCAGAAAAACTTCCATCTATAATTTCAACTGTAGAGCTTTGTAAGGTAGGGTAATCATAGACAAAGACATGTAACTGAGATAAAATGCCTTACTTAAGACTAGCTGTGAGATTGATCTGAGTTTCTTCCAGTTCAAGTGAAAAAAAAATAGAACATATTAATATTTCAACACAATGTCCTTTGAAATCCAAAGATGGCGTCACTGGGTTTTGTAAATACAACTCTGCTCCCATCGTGGTCAGCCAAATCTAGGGATTTTTCACAAGCAAGGCAAGGAAAATTGGTCTTTTGTCCTGTGTGTCCTGCGTCTGAACAAGGGGATTTGATATCTATTAGTTAGGGTTAAGATCCACTGATGGACTGGTTTAACCTCTAGATTTGAGTAATCCTTAAGCATCGTTTAACCATTTAAGGTTCATGTCGTAAAGACGTGGCCAAAAATTCTGAAGATCTGAATCGGTCATCTCTTCAAAGGAATCAAGAAATGAACAGGGCAGGGCTGTGATGATAGATAGATAGATAGATAGATAGATAGATAGATAGATAGATAGATAGATAGATGGATGGATGGATGGATGGATGGATGGATGGATGGATGGATGGATGGATGGATGGATGGATGGATGGATGGATGGATGGATGGACTTCGCAACTAACAACAACAAAGGTTAGAAATTAGAAACAGTCAGTTAAATCAATTGATACCAATTAAAATCTGTAAAGGCTTCCAAACCATCAGATACTAACAGGAATTGCTTTCTGATCCAAATTGTTGGGAGGAGAATTGTCCATACAGGGCTTCCCCCCCTCTCCATTTATTGACCCTCCCTACATTTTTTTCTGTTTCCTCTTCGGAACGGCTGAATTTATCAGTTACTTTCAGAACAGGTGCACAGGTGGTCCTCGGCTTACAAAAATTCATTTAATGCCCATTCAAAGTCACAACGGCGCTGAAAAAAGGGACGTGTGACCTTTTTTCACACTTGTGACCTTTGCAGCCTCCCCATGGCCATGTGATCAAAATTCAGATGCTGGGCCACTGACTCATACTTATGACGGTTGCTGTGTCCCAAGTCCAGGTCATCCCCTTTTGCGACCATTTGACAAGCAACGTCAATGGGGGAGCCAGAATCACTTAACAACCAGGTTCACTAACTTACCATATTGTGGTCCACTTAACAACTGTGGCAAGAAAGGTCATCAAAAGGGGGCACAACTCGCCGAAGACATGTCTCACTTAGCAACGGAAATGTTGGGCTCAGTTGTGGTGGTTTAAGTTGAGGACAACTTGTAGGTGGCAAGTTGGAGCAATATTGGAAAACAATTTGAGATGGAGATTTGCATTTTTCGATGGGGTATTTTTCTCATTTCTGCGCCGGTCCTTCTCCACGCAGTACGGGCGCTCAGACAGTTATCGTGTGGCTACCACCCAAGACAAACATGATGACGATTCTTCACCCAAGAAGACCAAAGCTCAGCAGAAGGTTCGGGATCTGGATGATCTTAAGAAAGAGGTGGCGATGGTGAGTGATGACCAAACTTGATCCAACAGAGGTGGTTGGGTGGAGCTGCAAGAGATGGGGAGGGATGCTCTGTCTTGATCCAATGATGGCCCTTGGGTGATTGGGTGGAGCTGCAAAAGGTGGGGAGGGATGCCCTGTCTGGATCCAATGATGGCCCTTGGGTGATTGGATGGAGCTGCAAGAGGTGGGGAGGGATGCCCTGTCTGGATCCAATGATGGCCCTTGGGTGGTTGGGTGGAGCTGCAAGAAATGATGGAGATGGAGGGAGGTAGCAGAAGGTCCTCCTAAGCATCCCCCTTTTTGCAATGTCTTTCAGACGGAGCACAAAATGTCCATCGAAGAAGTCTGCCGGAAATACAACACCGATTGTGTGCAGGTGAGGACATTCCACACCAAGGCTAGTGAGCTTTTCTTCTGTTCCTCAAGGACTGGAGATAGGTTGAACATCTGCCTGGAGGCTCCATAGCACCATGACCTAGCTGGTGGAGGAAATCAGTTGACCAGCAGATAGAGAACCTTTAGGGAACCCGTGTAATCGTTGACTGAATAAACTTTCAATCAAAATAGAGTTGGAAGGGACCTTGAAGGTCTTCTAATCCAACCCTCTGCTCAAACAGGAGAACCTGTCCTACACCATTTCAGACAGGTGGCTGTCCAGTCTCTTCTTAAAAGCCTCCAGTGATGGAGTACCCACAACATCTGAAGGCAAGCCGTTCCACTGGTTAATTGTCCTCCCTGTTAGGAAGTTTCTCCTTAATTCCAGGTTGCTTCTCTCCTTGATTAGTTTCCATCTATTGTTTTTTGTGTTGCCTTCTGGTGCTTTGGAAAATAAATTGCCCCCCTCCTCCTTGTGGCAGCCTCTCAAATACTGGAATACTGCTATCATGTCCCCCATAGGGATGCAGAGATGGTTTCATCCCTCCTTTCTCTCTGCCCATCAGGGTCTGACCCACAGCAAAGCCCAAGAGATCCTGGCCCGTGATGGCCCCAATGCTCTCACTCCACCCCCAACCACTCCAGAATGGGTCAAGTTCTGTCGCCAGCTCTTCGGAGGTTTCTCCATCCTCTTGTGGATCGGTGCCATACTCTGCTTCCTGGCCTACGGCATCCAGGCGGGAACCGAGGAGGATCCCGCTGGAGACAATGTGAGTTTTGGTGGGATGACTTGTTTGGAGGGTGTCCCTGTGGGAGGAACGAAGAAGGGGGATCCCTCTGGTGACCCAATCTTTCTTGCCTCTTCTCTTGGGACAGCTGTACTTGGGTATTGTCTTGGCTGCAGTTGTCATCATTACTGGCTGCTTCTCCTACTATCAAGAGGCCAAAAGCTCCAAGATTATGGAATCCTTCAAGAATATGGTGCCCCAGGTAGGACACACCTCACAAATTCTCTTTTATATTGACACGACTTGTAGACAGTCATCGACTTAACAATCGCAATGGAGCCCTCCAACTTTCTGTGGCTCTGTTGTCCACTTAACATTTGTTAAGTGAATGCTGCCCCATTTTATGACGTTTCTTGCCACGGTTGGTAAGTGAATCGCTACAGTTTAGTAGTTAAAGTTAGTAGCATAGTTGTTAAATGAAAGTGGATTCCCCCCTCCCATTGACCTGGCTTGTCAGAAGGTCGCAAAAGGGGATCACGTGATCCCGGCATGCTGCAAACCTTCATAATCTGAGTCAGTTGCCGAGCGTCTGAATTTTGATCACGTGATCCTGGGGATGCCGCAACGGTCGTAAGTGTGAAAAACGGCCTTAAGTCACTTTTTTCAGTGCTGTTGTAACTTGGAACGGTCACTAAATGAACTGTTGTAAGTTGAGGACTACCTGTATTCAAATTTCCCATAAAGCTAGGCCCAAGCCATCTTTATAGGTAAGGTATAGGTCAGGGGTAGGCAACCTTGGCTCTTTTATGACTCGTGGACTTCAACTCCCAGAATTCCTGAGCCAGCCATGCTGAGGGGAAAGGGAGAGGTTTCCAAGCTGAGCCATGCTGGCTCAGGAATTCTGGGAGTTGAAGTCCACGAGTCATAAAAGAGCCAAGGTGGCCTACCCCTGGTATAGGTATTATTGTCATTGATAGTATCTTTCAGCTCATCTATTTGTAAAATGGGAGCAGACATTATGATCCACTTCGGAGGATTTTGTGAGAAGGAATGGGCGATGTAAGGTGCCACGCTGAGTTTATTTTTAACCTCGTTTTTCCGGTGTGTGTTGTGTGAACCCAGACCATTAAATTAATTTAGGATTCAGTCTATTGTACGATGTCAAAAAGGGGTTTCATTAATTGTCTGGTTAAGTCTGTTGAGTGAACACAACTGTTTAGAATCATGGGTTTATGAGATCGGATATGAAACCTTTGCAAGAGCTAAATGTCTATGGAGATTCTCAGTCCTCATGAGGCAACTGGACTTCCTTGTTTTTCTTTGAAGACCTTTTGCTTCTCACCCAAGAAGCTTCTTCAGCTCTGACTGGATGGTGGGGAGTTCTTCAAAGTCTTCAAAGAAAAACAAGAAAGTCCAGTTGCCTCATGAAAAAGCATCTTTGGGGACCACTTTGCAAGAGCTGCGTGTGTGTTAGATAATAATAACAAGAATAACACCATGTTCTCTCCTGGAGACAACTTGGCTACCTCCAGACATGTTGGGTCTCCCAATGTACATTCCTAGGCAGTGTGAGTGTTGCACGGCCAATGAATTTGGAAAACGATAGATTTAAGAAGAAATGATTTATGGGAACACGTGTCAGCACCTGACTGAGAATCCAGAATATTTATTAATGTAACTGAGTTTGCTTTTCCTTTCAAAGCAAGCCCTGGTGATCAGAGAAGGCGAGAAGATGCAACTCAACGCTGAGGACGTGGTGGTTGGGGATCTGGTAGAGGTGAAAGGAGGAGACAGAGTCCCAGCTGACCTGAGGATCATCTCCGCCCACGGTTGCAAGGTTGGTGACAATCTTAATAGACTCCTTCAGCTGTTGTTCCTTACAGCTCTGGAAGGAACTATCAAGCCACTGGGAATTAGAGCAATTCGTCCTGTCCTTTACCAACTGTTCTCTCCCATTAACCAAATCTAAGCGGAGAGATCAGATTACCAAGCGTTGTGCAAGTCGTATCACTAAACAACCTTGCAGCTCGGGTTTCCCTGTTTCTTTTGTTCCACGTGGAGCAGCGCCGGAGAAGTGGAAGAAGAATGAATTTGGATCCTTGTCACAAAAGTGATCGGCTTTCCCAGACTTACGTAACATGCAAAAACCATCTGTCCTTTTAAATGAGTTGCGACGATTACGCTACCAGATCTGTCAGTTTGTTGACCTGCCAAATTTGAGATGAAACCAGGATAATTTTAACTGCAAACCTTTCTAGACGAATTGACATGGTGCGGCGTTTTCTCTCTAGGTGGATAACTCCTCCCTGACCGGTGAATCTGAGCCTCAGACCCGTTCTCCAGATTGTACCCACGACAATCCACTTGAGACCCGGAATATCACTTTTTTCTCTACCAACTGCGTGGAAGGTAGGGCTTGAGTTTGGGTTAAAATGAGCTTCCAGTTGGTCTAGACATCTTAAAGTGGCCTAATTTGAAAAAAACACTGATTTAAGAGAACACATTAACACAGGCTTTGTGGCTGCTGGGCATATGTCTGCCTTAATCTATGAGAAGGATTGCTAGAGAGAAATCTAGAGTAATTTAGTAAGGGCTTAGTTGATGTAGGAGAGGACCAGACTAAGCCCAAGGGAGGTGGGGTCAAACGCGTCATCAGTCTCTTCATGACAACAAGAGATCTAAGTCCAGCCCACCTTGAATTCCGTTGATTCTTATCTACCGCCAATTTGCTTTGACCGTTAGTAGTTCGGATTCTTATAGAGAGCTTAAGCTTGCAATAAATCTTTGTACCTATTTGAACTGCCTGGATTTTTTTATTTCCCTGGTGCTTTGAAACCTAAACTCTCGACCTAAATTAGCTTAACGGTTTGTGTCTCTCCTCAAGGAAGCCAGGGAGATTTGTAAGTTACAGTTCTGTTATCAAACAGCAGTTCCGAAGTTGGTTTAAATATGGCTACCAGCAGTGAACCTCCAACACAAATCTACAGCAGAGATCGCCAACCTGGGCTGAGACTACAATGTCCAGGATTTCTAGTCAGAATGGTCAAGTTAGCTGGGAATTCTAGGAGCTATGGTCACACCCGATCTGGAAGTTGTTAGACTTGCAGAAAATCGGAGAGAGACTGCATGCCCATGGATTTGTCTCGTCTCCCACCAGGCACAGCACGTGGAGTTATCATTGCCACTGGTGACCGGACAGTGATGGGTCGAATTGCCACCTTGGCTTCAGGTCTGGAAGTTGGCAAGACCCCCATTGCTCGGGAGATTGAGCACTTCATCCAGCTGATCACAGGGGTGGCTGTTTTTCTGGGGGTCTCCTTCTTCGTCCTCTCTCTCATTTTGGGCTACTCCTGGCTAGAAGCTGTCATTTTCCTCATTGGCATCATCGTGGCCAATGTCCCTGAAGGACTCTTGGCTACAGTCACAGTAAGTACCTGACCAGGGATCGCCAAAGAACTTCCTAGAGAAAATGGATGGAAACTGATCAAGGAGAGAAGCAACCTGGAACTAAGGAGGAATTTCCTGACAGCGAGAACAATTAATCAGGGGAAGTTGTGGGTGCTCCATCATTGGAGGTTTTTAAGAAGAGACTGGACAGCTATTTGTCTGAAATGGTATAGGATTTCCTGCTTGAGCAGGGGGTTGAACTAGAAGACCTTCAAAGTCCCTTCCAATTCTGCTATTCTGCTATATCTGTAAAAAAAAACACCTGTGTTGATATCTTATCTTGGCTTCCCAAAGCTGGTGATGATAATATTCTAATATTCTATTAGAAAGAAATGGTGTGATGTTGGGCTCCCTTTTTGAAGAATAATATCTAGGAGGTCTTCTAGTCCAACCTCCTGCTCAAGCAGGAAACCCTACACCATTTCAGAGAAATGGTTGTCCAATGTCTTCTTAAAAATCTCCAGTGTTGGAGCACCCACAACTTCTGGAGGCAAGTCCTTCTGCTGATTTAATTGTTCTCACTGCCAGGAAATTCCTCCTTCATTCTAAGTTGCTTCTCTCCTTGATTAGTCTCCATCCGTTGCTTCTTGTCCTGCCTTCTGGTGCTTTGGAAAATAGGTTGACCCCGTCTTCTTTGTGGGGAGCCCTTAGATATTGGAACACTCTTGAGTTTCAAGGAAAATGCCAGATTGGGTATCTCTGGTAGGGGTCCTTTCCTTCAGCCCACCGCTAAGTTTCATTCCCCCCATTTAGGTGTGTCTGACCTTGACCGCCAAACGCATGGCTCGTAAGAACTGCTTGGTGAAGAACTTGGAAGCGGTGGAGACCCTGGGCTCCACCTCCACCATCTGCTCAGACAAGACAGGGACCCTGACTCAGAACCGAATGACTGTTGCCCACATGTGGTTCGACAACCAGATCCATGAGGCCGATACCACTGAGGATCAATCTGGTGAGGATTATTATGGGGAAAGAGAATATCCTTTTCCTATTTTGCCTTAAGAAGAGTTGACAGAGGACCTCTTCATAGGGTGAAAGAATAGAAGCTGGGGGGGGGGGGTTCCTGTCTTCTTGGGATCTCTAACTCAGCTCTAGATCCACCCCAGATGCTCCCAGTTTTGCTTGCATGGTGAGAATTGTGTGTAACCGACTGAGCAAGGCTGATCTAGAACCTTGATTGAAATTGAATTCCATCTTTCTCTTGTTCAAGATAGGACCCATTCTCCCTTACTCTTTCTCCCTCACCCAATTCTCCTTTTTCTCCCAGGCCTACAGTTCAAGAGACGTCCCTTCTTAACCTAGAACTTCCCCCCTCACCAGCATCCTTTATTTTTTAATTGCAGGCACGGCCTTTGATAAGAGCTCCCCCACCTGGCTGGCTTTGTCTCATGTTGCTGGGCTTTGCAACCGAGCTGTCTTCAAGGGGGGTCAAGAGAACGTGCCCATCCTCAAGGTGAGCAGAGGAGAGCCACTCCTTGTGAGGACTCAGCAGCTGGGCCCTAGCAGCATCTAGAAAATTGAGAATGCTTTGTGCTGGAGATAAGGACAGGTGAAGATGGGAAGGTTGAAGGTCAGGTATAAGGGAAAGAGTTTTAATTTCTATACCGTGGGATGAACTACGAGAACCTGAGAATCAGCTTGCTGGATCAGGGCTAGGCCCAATTAACCAGCATTCCATCTTACATGGTGGCCCACCAGCTGCATCTAGGAAGCCCACCAGTAGGAGGAGATCAAGGCATCTGTTGTTGCTCACATATACTCTATATCAGTGTTTCTCAACCTTGACAATTTTAAGGCATGTGGACTTCAACTCCCAGAATTCCACAGCCAGCAATGCTGGCTGTGGAATTCTGGGAGTTGAAGTCCACATGCCTTAAAATTGTCAAGGTTGAGAAACACTGCGTCTATATAGAGAAGTAGACTGTCTCCATGCCTGGAATCCACCTGATCATCAAATCCGGTAGCCTCTGATAGATCTGTCCTGCAGCAATTGTACTGGACTTTTTTGAACCCACCTAATCTAGCAGCCTATCTTCTCCTGTGGCACCACTTCCTACATCAGTGGTTCTCAACCTGTGGGTCGGGACCCCATTTGGGGTCGATCGACCATTTCACGGGGGTCGCCAAGCAAGGCTGTCCGCTATTTTTTTTGTCCGCCATTTTTTTTGTCCGCCATTTTTTTTCCCTTTTCCAGCGGGTGCCTTATCTCCCTTGGGCTGGGCCAGCTGGTGGTCGGCCTGCTCCGTCTCTGCCGCTTGCCAGCTACGCCTCAGCCGGCGCAGGGGGCGGAACCACGCATGCGTGGCGCTCCCGGGCAGGGAAAGTCCTCGACTTACGACCGGTTGGGTAGTCCTCGACTTACGACCGGTTTAGTCCTCGACTTACGACCGGTTTAGTCCTCGACTTACGACCGGTTTAGTCCTCGACTTACGACCAGTTGGGTCGCGGCATTAAAAAGGTTGAGAACCACTGTCCTACATTTATGAATGTCGTTAGCTCCATCATTAGGACAGTGAGGTGACGGTGAGTGGTAGCAATGGGGAGAGAAGGTCAGGCTGCATGTCCAAACACAGGAAACTGAAATAATCCTCTTTTACCCCCAAGCGTGACGTAGCAGGAGATGCTTCTGAGTCAGCCCTGTTGAAATGTATCGAGCTTTCGTCTGGATCTGTGAAGCTGATGAGGGAGAAGAACAAAAAAGTGGCAGAAATTCCCTTTAACTCCACCAACAAATACCAGGTACGGATTCTTGAGTGTCCCTCAAAGAGGCATCTACTGTAACTCTAGAATTGGGTGTCCTTTTATACGTACAGTTGCGGACCTGCGCCTTTTTCGCCGATCCCTGAAGGTCCATCTATTCCGTGCGGCCGGCCTGGCGTAGTTTGATTATGTTTCAGTGGGGGTTTTTGTATGGGTGTGTTTTTAGAACAGGCCTGTTATTTAATTCGATTTTAGAACAGAAACTATTTATTTATTATCGTGGTTTTTAGTACCGCCTGTTCACTGCCCTGAGTCCCGTAAGGGAGATAGGGCGGTATATAAATTTAATAAATAAATAAATAAATAAATATAAACCAGGGGTGTCCCATCTTGGCAATTTTACGACCTGTGGACTTCCACTCCCAGAATTCCTAGTCAGCCTAACTGGCTGGGGAATTCTGGGAGTCGAAGTCCACAAGTCTTAAAGTTGCCAAGATTGAACACCTTTGATGTAAACAGAAGTTCTTCTTGAATTGAAAGCAAAACTAATCAGCAAAACTAAGTCAGGCTATTCTCCAAAGCGCCTGAGCGCAGGACAAGAAGCAACGGATGGAAACTCATCAAGGAGAGAAGCAACCTAGAACTAAGGAGAAACTTCCTGACAGTTAGAACAATTAACCAGTGGAACAACCTGCCTCCAGAAGCGGTGAATGCTCCAACACTGGAAGTTTTTAAGAAGAGACTGGACAGCCATCTGTCTGAAATGGTGTAGGGTTTCCTGCTGCCTGAGCAGGAGGTTGGACTCGATGACCTCCAAGGTCCCTTCCAACTTTATTTTTATTTTTATTTTTATTATTATTATTATTATTATTATTATTATTATTATTATTATTATTATTATTATTATTATTATTATTATTATTATTATTATTATTAATAATAATAATAATAATAATAATTATTATTATTATTATTATTATTATTATTATTATTATTATTATTATTATTATTATTATTATTATTATTAATGTTGTCCTCAGGGTATTAAGCAACACCATTTAAAAAAAAAACCCTCTGAAGATGGCATTTTTAGACTTAGCTCACATTGAAAATATATTTTGATTTCCAACATTATCTAGTTTCTTACATCAAAAAAAACTAAAGAACTGATAGTAATTAGAACTATTTAGGACTACCGGTAATTTAGTTTAGAAGTTTAGAACCAATAGTATGTACAGATAGTCCTCGGCTTACAACAGTTCATTTAGTGACTTTTCAAAATTACAATGGCACTGAAAAAAGTCATTTATGATCAGTTTTCAGGTGTATGACCTTTGCAGCACGGTCACGTGATCAAAATTCAGATACTTGGCAACCGACTCATATTTATGATGTCTGCAGTGTCCTGTGGTCATGTGGTCATCTTTTGTGACCTTCTGACAAAGTCCATGAGGAAGGCAGATTCAATTAACAACTGTGTTACTAACTTAACAACTGCAGTGATTCACTTAACAACATTCACTTAACATGCACAAAATGGGGCAAAACTCACTTAACAAATGTCTCACTTAGCAACAGAAAATTTGGGCTCAATTGTAGTTCGTACGTTGAGGACCACCTGTAGTAATTAGAACTCTCGAATTAATCGTAAGTAGTGATTAGAACTATTCTAATTTAAATTCCCCAATCATTTTTGTTTTTAAAGAAAAAGAACAACCACCACATACAGAAAAAGGAGAAAAAGGCATAATTTGGAAGCTTGGATGAAGTCATTTATCAGGAAACGTATATCTGGCCAGTTTGTGTATCAGAACCATCCTACTGATGGTTCTCTGTTCTGAAATTGTACAGCCAACGCAGTCTCCACATTCTGGGAATCTCAGCCCATCAGCTTTAATCCCCAATTTTTCTGCCGACATATGGCAAGGATTAGCTAGGATTCTCAGTGTGCTATGACCTGGAATAAAATTGGCAAATCATTTCCAGAGACAGAAGGAGTGGTGCTCCTATGTCATGTTGATATGCATTGCTGTTATTGTTGCCTAGGTCCAAAAATGATGGAGCTTGGCTAACATCTGATGGTTGATGTAATGTTTATAGAGATTCTCAATCATCCAGGTCATGGTTGTCCCAAAGGTACTGTTGAGGGAAAAGTCTTCATCATGGTTCAGTCCAAGCCGGGAATAAACAGCATGGCGACTGCTTTAGAAAGAAGGTTGCAGTTTATTGAAGAGGAGAGCCAGACAGGAAGACGGCTCTGGAAGAAAAGAGAGCGAGCCCATGTAGGGAGTGGGTTTTTATACCCTCTGGAGCCTTTTGTTTGGAGTTGTTCCTGTGGCATGAACTTTGACCTGAGTCTGAGTGTGCCTTTCTGGTATTCTGATGGTGGTGGATTAATCCTATTATGTCCCATGGGTCATATCCTGCTTCCCTGGGGCTGGGGCTGATGACTCTTAGATTTTTGGTGTGTTGATTCTAGGGATCTTTCTTCCTAATCCCAGTTTCCTGACTCCAGTCTTTCTGACAAGATTATCACATGTGCAATTCTGCAGACTTGGTTTCTGTTTGGGACAGAGAGACTTGGGGGCTTTTAAAATCCTTTAGGGAAATATATTCTGCCTTTTAAATATTTCCAAAAATATTTCTTTCTTTGGGGGGGGGGGGCTGACTTCCCACAGTACTTATTCAAAAGGCAACGGGACTTTGTTTTGTCTCTTGAAGATGTTTTGCTTCGCATCCAAGAAGCATCTTCAGATCATGAAGAGTAGCTTCGTGTAGCTCTAAGATTCAAGCAAGATCCTTGGTTAAGATCTGGCCATCCAAAGGTGCTCCTTGGATGAGAAGCGGAAACAGTTTTTCAGGAGAGAAAACAAAGGAAGTCCAGTTGCCTTTTGACAAAGCAGCTTTGGGACACCGATGTAACGTTGGTTTCTTCTAGAGCACAGTAAAACAAATCAAGATGGTTGTGACGTACCATGCAGACTTTCGAAGAGAGTATTTGTAGCTCTGAACTATGGGGTCCTTGGTGCTCTCTGAGCTTGGTGGTGTTCTTGCAGACGTTTCATTAGCAAACTAGGGAGCATCATCAGTGCATTGCAGGAAAGCCACCAAGCTCAGAGAGCACCAAGGACCCCAAGCAATCCAAACTTTTGTCATTCTGCATTGCACTCCATGAGCAATGTCTGGCATGCAGTGGCTGTCATGGTTCCGAAAGATGAAACTCTTCAAAGAACTTTGAGGCATTGTTTACCTTAAAGAATCTTTAATCGAGACAGCGTAGCTTCGGCACGGTACATTGGCGAAGCCAAAATCTGACTTCCCCTCCCTTCAGCACATAGATCAAAGCACAATTCCCTCCTACAACTAACAGTCATAAATCACATTCTCCAATTAGTTTGAAATGCTGGCTTTCCGCCCAATTCGCTATTCCGCCATGCTTTATCAGCTCTTATTACAATATTGTATGTCTAACTAACTCCCATCACATTCTTCCCCCTTCACCATTATCATCTAATTCTAAGAGTAAAGTATAAGAAGGGAAAAGGCTGCATCTCCATCTGTTGCCAAAGCAAGAACATCCAACGTTAGCAGCGTTGACAGTGGCCTCCGCTGTTGTAATCTGGGAGTGCTCTTTTGGTTCCTGAAAGATCGGGTCTTCTGCTCCCGTTGCAGCTTTCGATTCATGAGGTCGAGGACCCCAACGATAACCGCTACCTGCTGGTGATGAAGGGGGCCCCCGAGCGCATCCTGGACCGATGCTCCACCATTCTGTTCCAAGGCAAAGAACAGCCTCTCGATGAAGAACTGAAAGAAGCGTTCCAGAACGCTTACTTGGAACTCGGAGGACTTGGAGAAAGGGTGCTTGGTAGGAACGGCTGGGGAGAGGATGTTGGGTTGTGGAAGGACGAAAGAAGGCAAGACACCAACGGGCAGAAGGCCTAGATGTCATACAACATCTTGGAAAAGTCAATAAGTTGTGTGTGTTTTTTTTTAAAGAAAAAAGCCAGCAAGAAGTCAGATACCCTCTGTAGAAACTTAGATATCATTTCAGAATCCAGATGTTTCAAGATAGGTAGGGGACAACAGTCTCTAGTTAGGGAAGGATGCTTAATTGAAAGGGGCATTAAGCTGTGCTCAGGGATTCTGTAACAACCTGACCAGCTTTAATGAAGTTTGGTTGTGGCTTACAGGGTTGTGCGAATCAAGTTCTTGTGGCTTTATAAGCCGTGGTTCATGACTTAGTGCAGCCTTTCGCAACCTGGTTACGCAGCAGACAGGTGGAGTTCGGTTCTCAGAGTATTCAGCAACAGCCATACTGGCTGGGGAATTCTGGGAGTTGAAGTCCACACATCTTCGTTCTGCCAAGATTGTGAAACACTGGCCTAGAGCAGGGGTAGGCAACCTTGGCTCTTTTATGACTCGTGGACTTCAACTCCCAGAATTCCTGAGCCAGCTGTGCTGAGGAGAAAGGGAGAGGTTTCCATGCGGAGGCGTGCTGGCTCAGGAATTCTGGGAGTTGAAGTCCACGAGTCATAAAAGAGCCAAGGTTGCCTACCCCTGGCCTAGAGTGTTATCTCAGAGCCAGTCCTGAATGGCTTACCTTACATTGGGGTGTCCCGTAGCCTCTAAGATACAAGCAAAATCATTGGCTAGGATTTGGCTATCCAGGTTTCCAGGTCAAACTTTCCCTTTTTGTCCTTCCAGGTTTCTGCCACTACTACTTGCCTGAAGAGCAATATCCCAAAGGGTTCGCCTTTGACTGTGATGATGTCAACTTTTCCATCGATAACCTCTGCTTTGTGGGACTCATGTCCATGATTGACCCACCCCGTGCTGCAGTGCCCGATGCTGTGGGGAAATGCCGAAGCGCTGGCATCAAGGTAAAGCAACTGGACAGTCTAGAACAGGGCTTTTCAACCAGTGGTACGAGTACCACCTGTGGTACATTGGCACCTGGCAGGTGGTACGCGACCATCCTAGAAAAGTGGTAGTGGGGGAGGGGAATTAGCTGAACCGGTGGCAGCACCGCACAAGCCTGAGCGAGAGACGGCTGCAGCTGCAGGGCTCAGCGGAAGCGCCGGGATCAGTGCTGCTTTCCAGCTGATTGGCGCTTCTTCGGGGCTATCAGGGCTCAGTGGAAGCGCCAGGATCAGCGCCAGGCTCCAGCTGGAGCTCGGCACTGATCCTGGTGCTTCTGCTGAGCCCAGACGAAGCGCCGATCAGCTGGAATGTTGCAGCATCTCCAGGGTCTTATGATTTACATTCAGATGCTTGGCAACTGATTCATATTTATGACGGTCACAGTGTCCCAGGGTCATGTGAAGTGACCGAAACCTGCTGTAACCACCCAGCAGATGGGGGGAATAAAAACCAAACACCCCCCACCCACTCCCGCTGCCAATCCTCAACAGAAATGCTCACAACAATGAAAACCTCGGACAGGAAGAAGAGCACGGCCGGGCGGGCAGGCAGGTGTCTTGCTCGGCTGTGGCTTGGGGGGCACTTTTTTCAGTGCCATTGTAACTTCGAACAGTCACTAAGCGAACTGTTGTAAGTCAAGGACTACCTGTACTTTATCACTTTTTTCCTTTGGACTGGACAACTCATTCTGCTCTAGTGGACAGTCTTCACCTTCCCCAGGACTCCTTTGATAACTCTGTTTTTTTTTCCTCCACAGGTGATCATGGTGACAGGTGACCATCCTATCACGGCTAAAGCCATCGCCAAAGGTGTTGGAATTATCTCTGAGGGCAATGAGACTGTGGAAGACATCGCCGCCCGGCTAAATATTCCTGTCAGTCAGGTCAATCCCAGGTGAGGGGGCAGCAGGAGGGAGATGAGAATTGAAGTCCACACAAGTCTCAAAGTTGGCAAGGTTGCATATCCCTGACTTAGACAATTCCAGAATTTAGGTTTTATTCTCTGTGTATCAATTAGATATTTATTTAGTTGTGATGTCTCCATTACCCTGTGTGGCAGTTCAATAGACAGTTGGCATCTCTCAGAGGGCTGTTGCCATTTGCCCCGATGAAAGGCTGAAATGTAGTTGTGTTCTTGGGCATTCTTAGAAAAAGGCAGGGTAGACAAAGACAACAAAAACAACACTGAAATGATGAAGCATAACAGCCCATAGTTAACACTCTTATCTGCACATGGGGTGATCATCTGTCTACTATCTTTGGTCTACCTAGAGACGCCAAGGCTTGTGTGATCCATGGGACAGATTTGAAAGACATGCCTACAGATCAAATTGATGAAATCCTACAGAATCACACTGAGATCGTCTTTGCCCGTACTTCTCCGCAGCAGAAGCTCATCATTGTGGAAGGCTGCCAAAGACAGGTAGAGACTCAGAAGGATGTCCAACCAACCATGTCATGCGTCCATATCTCATCCCATTAAATTTGTCTTCTCCAGCTAGCAGGAAGTTCATCTAGGTCAGGGGTAGGCAACCTCGGCTCTTTTATGACTCATGGACTTCAATTCCTGAGTCAGCTATGCTGACTCAGGAATTCTGGGAGTTGAAGTCCATGAGTCATAAAAGAGCCGAGGTTGCCTATCCCTGATCTAGGTAATGAAGGATTTTCAAGGCAGAACAGTGCGATACATGTAAAAATAGGCAACACAAAATGCATCGATTTACACACTGAGTGGCTGAGGGAAGGGTTTCGCTCATCCAATAGCCTACGGATTCCATCCGCTGCTTCCTTTGAGAAGTCACTAAACGAACTCTTGTAAGTCGAGAACTACCTCTAGTGTTCTCTGCAGTGAGACATTATCACTGGACATAGCTGGCAAGGTTGATGTCAGGGGCAAGTAACCCGAAGCACTCGTGAAGAATCTCAAGCGGAAACTTTATTGCTAATCACCTACGTTACAAGAATCTCACCAGACTGATTGCATTCCCTTGGGAAAGATCAGATAGGGCTTCAGAGAGTCTTGGGGAGGTCAGGTCTGTGCCACTTTCTAGAACAGAACAGAACAGAACAGAACAGAACAGAGAATAGGAAAGAATAGAATGAAAGAATAAAATAGATGACAGAATAGAATAGAATAGATTACAGTATAGAATAGAAAATAGAATAGAATAGAACAGAACAGAAAATAGAATAGAATAGAATAGAATAGAATGAAAGAATAAAATAGAATAGATGACAGAATAGAATAGAATAGAATAGGGAATAGGGAAGAATAGAATGAAAGAATAAAATAGAATAGATGACAGAATAGAATAGATTACAGTATAGAATAGAAAATAGAATAGAACAGAAAATAATAGAATAGAATAGAATAGAGAATAGGAAATAATAGAATGAAAGAATAAAATAGAATAGATGACAGAATAGAATAGAATAGATTACAGAATAGAATAGGAATAGGAATAGGAATAGGAATAGGAATAGGAATAGGAATAGAATAGAAACTTTATTGTCACTTTAAATGTACATTACTCAGCATACCTTAAAATGAGTTTTGGTTGCATACAGCTCTCCGAGGGTAACCATGAGACGCCCTAGAGTAGGTTGAGCACACCTGTTTCCTACCGCTGTTTCCTCCCTCCAGACCATCCCTTTCATCTTCACCCAACCCTCTTTGGCAACAGCACCTGTCCTCTCTTTCTGACACTGCCTTCCTTCCCCCCCCCCCAGGGTGCCATTGTGGCCGTGACTGGGGACGGCGTGAACGACTCCCCTGCCCTGAAAAAGGCCGACATCGGAGTGGCCATGGGCATTGCCGGCTCGGATGTCTCTAAACAAGCTGCCGACATGATCCTTCTGGACGACAACTTCGCCTCTATTGTCACTGGAGTTGAAGAAGGTCAGCAAAGGGAGAGAAATCGCTTCCCTTCCCTCTAAAACAGTCGGACGGGGGGGTAGAACTCCGTTGTAGCTACTGTTAGTGTCTTATTTCTGGGAGTCCTTGACTTACCACCACAACTGAGCCCAGAAATTATGTTGCTAAGCGAGAGAAATTCACTAAATGAGTTTTGCCCCCTTTTACAATTTTCCTCGCCACGTTTGTTAAGTGAACCCAGTTGTCAAACTAGTAAGACTGTTGTTAGTCAGTCTGGCTTCCCCGTTGACTTTGCTTGTGAGAAGGTTGCAAAAGGGGATCAGGTGACCCCCCCAGGAGACACGGCGACCGTTGTCAAGCATCCAAATGTAAATCAATGGGATGCTACAACGGTCGTTAAGTGTGAAAAACGGTCACAAGTCATTTCTTTCGGTGCCGTTGCCACTTCGAACGGTCGCTAAATGGACTGTTGTGAGTGGAGGACTACCTGAATAGCATCAGGATTCAGGGCAAGGATTCTACCCAGCGTCACAGCCGATGGGTCTCATACCCCACTCTGTAGACTGGAGCAAGCAATGTATAAGCATGAAGTGGCAGGTTCTGCAGTCTAATTTCAAAATTTGTCTGCCAGAAATCAGCTCAGCCCTTCAGCAAAAGCTGTTTCTCTTCTTCCCTGCGTCTGCTTAATGGAAACAGAGCCCATAAGGCAGGGGCAGGCAACCTTGGCTCTTTTATGACTGGTGGACTTCAACTCCCAGAATTCCTGAGCCAGTATGGCTCAGCATGGAAACCTCTCCCTTTCCCCTCAGCATGGCTGGCTCAGGAATTCTGGGAGTTGAAGTCCACCAGTCATAAAAGAGCCAAGGTTGCCTACCCCTGGCCTAGGCCTGTATTTCTCAACCGTGGCCACTCGGAGATGGGTGAACTTCAACTCCCAGAATTCCTGAGCCAGCATGGCTCAGCATGGAAACCTCTCCCTTTCCCCTCAGCATGGCTGACTCAGGAATTCTGGGCGTTGAAGTCCACGAGTCATAAAAGAGCCAAGGTTGCCTACCCCTGGCCTAGGCCTGTATTTCTCAACCTTGGCCACTCGGAGATGGGTGAACTTCAACTCCCAGAATTCCTGAGCCAGCATGGCTCAGCATGGAAACCTCTCCCTTTCCCCTCAGCATGGCTGACTCAGGAATTCTGGGCGTTGAAGTCCACGAGTCATAAAAGAGCCAAGGTTGCCTACCCTTGGCCTAAGGGGATGCTATAGGACTTCTTAGCTCGGAGAGACAACGGGGAAGAGGAGACATGAAACACTAGTGCATTAAAATGTTGTAAATCACACTCGTGCTGCAAACGGTCGTAAATGTGGGCTGGTTGCCGAGTATCCCACATATGGTCACGTGAACATGGGGTGGTGGTGGCGGCGGCCATCAGAACTTCAAATCTGGGTTATAAGTAGCTTTGGGGAGGTCGGCCGTAACTTTGAACAGTTGCTAAGCAACCGGTCGTAATTCGAGGACTACCTGTGTTATAAACTTCCTGCTAACAAACTTATAGCTACAGCTAGTTCTATGACTACAGTTCCTATAGTTACAACAGCCCTGAAAAAAAATGTGACTTATGTTTTTCACACTTACAACCCTTTGCAGCGTCCCCGGGGTCACATGATCGGAATTCAAACACTTGGCCACCGACCCATATTTCTGACTGTTACAGTGTCCCAGGGTCATGTGACCCCCTTTGGCCACCTTCTATCGAGCAAAGTCAATGGGGAAGCCGGATTCACTTAACAACTGTGTTGCTCACTTTACAACGGCATTGATTCGTTTTAGCAACCGGGGCAGGAAACGTTGAAAAAAAGAAGCGAAACACACGTAAAAAATATCTCACTTCGGAAACATAAATTCTAGGGTTCAATTACAGTCGTAAGTCGAGGACTTCCTGTACTTGTTCTTTTCCCAGAGACCCTTTTCTAAGCTCTGAAAGAGGAAGGGGCGAGAGTTACTAACCCTATGCTGGGAGGGGAAAAGAAGAGGAGGAGAAGCTTGTAGCAACGGGGCACAAATCTGGCTGGTGCTCCCCAGGTGTGCCCCATTCTCTCCCCGTTTGTCTCCCCCTTCTCCAGGACGCCTCATTTTTGACAACCTGAAGAAATCCATTGCCTACACCTTGACCAGCAACATCCCCGAGATTACTCCCTTTCTGCTCTTCATCATGGCCAACATCCCGCTGCCTCTGGGCACCATCACCATCCTTTGCATTGACCTGGGCACCGACATGGTGAGTTCTCGCCCTTGCGTCCATCGATCCATCCATGTCCTCCTGTACTTTGCCAGCCTTTTCACAGCCAAAGGGAGATCTCCATTCTCAGAATTCCAAACCTGAGCTTGGTCCTGTTTGGCAAGGGGCAGCCGATCCTGGCCTGGATCATTTTGGGGTTGAAGAGGTGGAGGAACAGAACCCTGTGCCAATGAAGCCGATGCAAATGAAACCAGTTTGGTCTAGGGCTTAAGGCGCCAGGCTAGAAACTGGGACAGTGTGTTCTGTCCCAACATACGTGAGTCCTTGTTAAGCTCACAAGGAGAAACCAGTCTTCCAATCAAGCAGGCTGGAACCGTAGGAAAAACCACAACCCCTTTTATTCTTCACAGACCTGAGTCAGTGTCCAAGGCAAACAAACACAGTCCACAGAAACTCGATCCTCAACACAAACGGCTACCTTCAGCAACCAGCACCTCCCACACCTTCCCTTTTATAATTCAGCCAAACTGTGGCTTCCTAATGCCTTCTCCTTTGCCTTTGGAGTCACCCCATTGCACTCCTCTGTCCTACTCGCTTCTCTTGCGGCGTTTACGTGCATCCTGGCTAACTCCCAGCTGTTCTTCATCACTGTCCAACTCAGGCTCCCAGCACAGCTCTGCCTCAGCCTGAGCGCGAGTAGAGGGGCCCGGCTCCTCGTCCGACTGTTAAGTCTTGGAGCTCCTCAGAGCCTTCCTCTGACTCTGATGTCACTCCAGGCCCCTCCTCCTCCTCCTCTGATTCCTCAGACTCAGCTGCCGGGTCCACTGGCTGGCGAGGAATCACAACAGAGTGTGAGTTCTAGTTCTGCTTTAGGCGTGAAAGCCAGTTGAGTGACTTTGGGCCAAATCACCAGAAGATGGTGAGTTCTAGTCCCATCTAAAGTTTGAAAAACAGCTGAGTGACTTTGAGCAAATCACCAGGAGACGGTGAGTTCTAGTTCCACTTTAAGCATGCAAGTCGGTTGGATGACGTTGGGCCAGTCCTTCTCTCTCAGCCCAGCCCAGCCCACCTCACAGGGTTGTTGTTGAGAACGTAGGAGGAGGAAAGAATATTAGGAATATTCCCCACCTGGGGTTATTTATATAAAAAAAGATAAAGGCGGGATATAAAGAAATATGACCATAATTCTGTGCACATAGGAAACGTGGGCTAGTTTAAAGACCTTGTCTTACACAATGAAATTCCATGCAAGGTATCTTCTCACCACCTTCCCACACTTGTTAAGTCCTTTGATCCCTCAAGGACTTTGGGAACCATAATTCTTACAACAATATTTTCCTGTTACCTTTTGTGGAATTGGGCAGATACATCTAATATTTGACTGATATTTACAGGTCAAGCAGGAAACAGGCACAGAATCATATTTCTTGCAGAAGTAGGACAACAACAACAACAACAACAATCATAATAAAGTTGGAAGGGACCTTGGAGGTCATCTAGTCTAACCTCCTGCTCAGGCAGGAAACCCTATACCATTTCGGACAAATGGCTGTCCAGTCTCTTCTTAAAAACTTCCAGTGTTGGAGCACTCACCACTTCTGGAGGCAGGTTGTTCCACTGGTTAATTGTTCTAACTGTCAGGAAGTTTCTCCTTAGTTCTAGGTTGCTTCTCTCCTTGATTAGTTTCCATCCGTTGCTTCTTGTCCTGGTCCATGGACCATCACCGGGCCACGACATGCCACAAACCGGTCCACACAAACAAGCAAAGCCCTTCTGCGGATGTAGGCAGTACATGAAACCACGTCCCCTTCCGTCTGCAGAAAAACCTCTCTCCACGGAAGCGGTCCCTGGTGCCCAAAAGGTTGGGGACCTCTGCTCTAGCCAACTGTACAATTCTCCACTCTTGGTTTTCCTTCTAGGTGCCTGCCATCTCCTTGGCTTACGAAGCAGCTGAGAGCGACATCATGAAACGTCAGCCCCGAAACCCCAGGACTGACAAGCTGGTGAATGAACGGCTCATCAGTATGGCCTACGGGCAGATTGGTGAGTGAGGTGCCAGCAGCCAGGAGGGATAAGCTCAGAGGTCGACTTTAGGAGATGGACGGGACAAGGTCAGCCTTGTCCTAGTAAAGGGATCTTTATAGGGCAGTGGTGGCGAACCTATGGCACGGGTGCCAGAGGCAGCACTCAGAGCCCTCTCTGTGGGCATGCATGCGCACCGTCACCCCAGTCCTAGGCCTTCAGCTGGGTTTTATAAAACCTTTTTGCTTTAGGCCTCCGTCGCCATGTGCAAAAAAAAAAAAAAAGGTTCAATCAGTCAATTTCAACTTCTCGTGGGAAAAAAAAAAGATCTTGCAAAGTTGGAATTGATTGATTGAACTTTTTAGTCCCACCCAGTCTGTCGTTACCGCCGCAGCCACGCCCACCCAATGGGCCACACCCACCCGGCACCCGACGATGCATAAGTGGGTTTTGGGTTGCAGTTTGGGCACTCGGTCTCTAAAAGGTTCGCCATCACTGTTATAGTTCATTGCTATGGGGCATTATAGGACATTTCATAGAGCATTATATTATTATTTTATTGGGCTTTTATAGGGCTTTGCTATAGCTATTATAGCACTATTACTATAATGGCTATAGGCCTAGCTTAATTAGACAGGAATACAGTAGTAATAACGATATTTTAGTTAACGGTAATTCAGAAATACTGCGTTGTCGCTCATCCAAGTACGATACACCATTTTGCACAGCTGGCTAGGGGATTCTGGGAGTTGAAGCCCATGCACCTGAAAGTTGTCCGAGGTTGAGAAAGGATTTCCTTCAACGCTCACAAATTTCTTTTTCAGGCATGATTCAGGCGCTGGGCGGGTTCTTCTCCTACTTTGTGATCTTGGCTGAGAACGGGTTCCTGCCCTCCGTCCTGGTTGGCATCCGTCTTAATTGGGACGACCGGTCAGTCAACGACCTGGAAGACTCATATGGGCAGCAGTGGGTAAGTAGAGGCAAGTCGGACAACCGAGGTAGCCATCTGGATCGCTTACCGAAAGGAAGGCTTGAGATCCAGCCCCTGCTTAGCGTCAGTTTTGTTTGAACAAGACTGGACAGGTCGTCCTCGCTTTACCACCGTTCATTTAGTGGCCGTTCGAAGTTACAACGGCCACTGAAAAAAGCGACTTAGGACCGTTTTTCACAGTTACGACCGTTGCAGCCTCCCCCACGGTCACGTGATCAGAATTCAGAGGCTTGGCAACTGACTCGTATTTATGACCGCTGCAGCGTCCTGGGGTCACGTGATCCCCTTTTACGACCTTTTGACAAGCAAAGTCCATGGGGGGGGAAGCCAGATTCGCTTAACAACTTAACCGACTGCAGTGATCCACTTAACAACATGGTCGTAAAATGGTGCAAAATTCGCTTCACAAACGTCTCACTGAACGGCAGACACTGGGGGCTCAATTGTGGCCGTAAGTCAAGGACTACCTGTATAAAGCGGTACTAGATGTGTTTTAGATGTTCTTGCTCCAGCAATTTCTGCCTTTATATAGCAGAAATTAATCCGATCGCTCTTTATGCGTTGGTGCTTGATTTCATTTTCGGCAATTGATCGCGTATATTTCTGGCCCTAACTGGTTTTCTGGAAATATTACTTCGCAGGGGCGATATTGCAATGGATCTAGAATTTGTACCTTCTGAAGACACTATTTTCCAGTGTGTTGTGACACTGTCTTTTGCTGAGAATGAGCGTTGCTAGTTGAAAAGAGAGAGAGAGATCTGTTTTAATTTTCTGTGTCTTTTAAATAATGATGATGATGATGATGATGATGATGATGATGATGTTGGAAGGGACCTTGGAGGTCATCTAGTCCAACCCCCTGCTCAGGCAGGAAACCCTATACCATTTCAGGCAAATGGCTGTCCAGTCTCTTCTTAAAAACTTCCAGTGTTGGAGCATTCACCGCTTCTGGAGGCAGGTTGTTCCACTGGTTAATTGTTCTCACTGTCAGGAAGTTTCTCCTTAGTTCTAGGTTGCTTCTCTCTTTGGTTAGTTTCCACCCATTGCTCCTTGTCCTGCCTTCAGGTGCTTTGGAGAATAGCTTGACTCCCTCTTCTTTGGGGCAGCCCCTGAGATATTGGAACACTGCTATCATGTCCCCCCTCATCCTTCTCTTCGTTAAACTAGACATACCCAATTCCAGCAGCCGTTCCTTATATGTTTTTTGATCTCCATCATTTGCTGGGTGTTGACTGTTGGAAGGGTGATCCAGTTTGAGAGCTGGATTCAGACACCCCGAGGCCCTTAAGCTGCGGGAAGCGATAGATGCTGTATTTGGCAAGCGCTAAAAGAGAAGGAAGCTGAGAGCCTAACTTGGCAAGCAGGCTGCCCAGATGCAGAACAAACCCGTGACGGGCCAGGAAGAGCCCTCTTTGACACATCACGTCACAAAAGATGCGAAAGCAGCAGAAACAAAGCGTATCTTATTTAATCAGGATGCCGTTAAGCCATAGAGGAAGGCTGAATTAAAATGGGCATTGTCATAAACGATAATAAAAGCCCAATCAATGAATCACAGTCTGAAATTTACAGATTTACAGAACAGGGACCTTGGAGGTCATCTAGTCCAACCCCCTGCTCAGGCGGGAAACCCTAGACCATTTCAGACAAATGGTTGTCCGGTCTCTTTTTAAAAACCTCCAGTGTTGGAGCACCCACAACTTCTGGAGGGAAGCCGTTCCACTGGTTAATTGTTCTCACTGTCATGAAATTTCTCCTTAGTTCTAGGTTGCTTGATCAGTTTCCATCCTTGCTTCTTGTCCTGCCTTCAGGTGTTTTGGAGAATAGCTTGACTCCCTCTTCTTTGGGGCAGCCCCTGAGATATTGGAACATTGCTATCCTGTCCCTCCCAATCCTTCTTTTCTTTAAACTAAATTCCTGCAACCATTCTTCATACATTTTAGCCTCCGGTCCCCTGATCATCTTTGCTGCTCTTCTCTGCATTCTTTCCAGAGTCTCAACATCTTTATGTCATGGCATTCAAAACTGGGTGCCATATTCCAAGTGTGGTCTTACCAAGGTGTTATAAAGCGGTACTAACACTTTACGTGATCTTTATTCTATCCCTCTGTTAATGCAGCCTAGGACTATGTTGGCTTTTTTGGCAGCTACAACACCCTACTGGCTCATATTTAAGTGCTCGTCCACTAAGACTCCAAATTCTGAGGGGCTCCTTCAAACTGTGAGGCCCTAAACTGTAGTTTGCTTACTTTATCCTTGCTCCAGCTTGGTGATTGAGAGATCTTGCCAACATCACTCAGATTAATTTGGAACTGAGCCTTGGCTGAATTAACAGCAGAATTGTAGCAGCTATTGCACAGTATGGGGAGTGGGTCTAGGGCAGGGCTTTTCAACCAGTGGTACGGGTACCACCTGTGGTACATTGGCACCTGGCAGGTGGTACGCGACCATCCTAGAAAAGTGGTAGCGGGGGAGGGGAATTAGCTGAACCGGTGGCAGCACCGCACAAGCCTGAGCGAGAGACGGCTGGAGCTGCAGGGCTGTCAGGGCTCAGCGGAAGCGCCAGGATCAGTGCCGCTTTCCAGCTGATCGGCGCTTCTTCGGGGCTGTCAGAGCTCAGCAGAAGCGCCAGGATCAGCGCCAGGCTCCAGNTGGAGCTCGGCGCTGATCCTGGTGCTTCTGCTGAGCCCAGAAGAAGCGCCGATCAGCTGGAATGTTGCAGCCTCTCCAGGGTCTTGTGATTTACATTCAGATGCTTGGCAACTGATTCATATTTATGACGGTCACAGTGTCCCAGGGTCATGTGAAGTGACCAAAACCTGCTGCAACCAACCAGCAGACGTGGGGGGGAATACAAACCAAACACCCCCACCCCACCCCCGCTGCCAATCCTCAACAGAAATGCTCACAACAATGAAAACCTCGGACAGGAGGAAGAGTGCGGCCGGGCGGGCAGGCAGGCGTCTTGCTCGGCTGTGGCTTGGGGGGCACTTTTTTCAGTGCCATTGTAACTTCGAACAGTCACTAAGCGAACTGTTGTAAGTCGAGGACTACCTGTACTTCATCACTTTTTTCCTCTTTTTTTTTTTTGGTCATCAAGTTTTTGACCCCTTGCTAGGCGACTGGTGGTACTCGGATGTTGCCCTATCCTAAAAGTGGTACAATGGGTGAAAAGGTTGAAAAGCCCTGATTTAGGGTAGGAGAAAGGGAGAAAGCAGGAACTTCCGTGTCCTCCTTGCACCCCCACCAAGAGTCTAATCTTGAACCGAGAGAGCAGGTTGCTGTGCCGGGAAGGAAGAAAATTCTGGGAGAGGGTGCGGGCCTTTGATTCCCCGCTGTTTTCCTCCTAGACCTACGAGCAACGCAAAGTGGTGGAGTTCACGTGTCACACCGCCTTCTTCGTCAGCATCGTGGTGGTGCAGTGGGCTGACTTGATCATTTGCAAAACCCGAAGGAATTCCGTCTTCCAGCAAGGCATGAGGTAGGCTGGCTGCTGGGTTTCCCGTTTGCCAAGGAAAAGGGCATAAGCTCCCGCTTGGAACCAACCAAGAAGAGAAATTGTGGAAACACAGCCATTATCTGCAAGGAAAATAGGACGCTGAAAGGGAGGAATGGCCCGTTCGGGTCCTTTGATGATGGTGGTTAGGTCTGAGTAGCAATGATTCAGAGCGTGTGTAAGTGCTGATGTTGTTGTTTTTTCCCTTTCACCACCTATCAATCCATCCGTCTGTCCATCCATCCATGCAACCATCCATCTGTCGTCCTCTCTCTGTCCATCACTCCATCTATCCATCTGTCTATTCATCTGATATCTTTCTCTTTCCATCCATCCATCCATCTCCTCTCCATCCATCTCTCTACCTCCATCCATTTCTTCCTCTACCTCCCCATCTATTTTTCCTTTCACTTCTCCATCTGTCCATCCATCCATCCATCCATCCATCCATCCATCCATCCATCCATCCATCCATCCATCTCCATCTATCCATTTCCTCTCTATCTATTTCTCTACCCCCATCCATTTCTTCCTCTACCTCCCCCTCTAACTTTCCTTTCACCCCTCCATCTGTCCATCCCTCCTTCCTTCCCTCTCTCTATCTCCATACATCCATTTCCTCTCCATCCATCTCTCTACCTCCATCCATTTCTTCCTCTACCTCTCCATCTCTTTCCTTCCACCTCTCTCTCTGTCCATCACTCCATCTGTCTATTCATCTGATATCTTTCTCTCTCCATGCATCCATCTCCATCTATCCATTTCCTCTCCATCTATCTCTCTACCCTCATCCATTTCTTCCTTTACCTTCCCCTCTAACTTTCTTTTGACCCTTCCATCTGTCCATCCCTCCTTCCTTCCCTCTCTCCCTCCCTCCTTCCCTCTCTCTATCTCTATACATCCATTTCCTCTCCATCCATCTCCATCTATCCCTTTCTTCCTCTACCTCTCCATCTATCTTTCCTTCCACCCCTCCATCTGTCCATCCCTCCTTCCCTCCCTCCCTCCCTCTGTCCTTCCTTCCCTCCCTCCATCTCCATCTCTCCTCCCAACTTCTCAGAAACAAGATCCTCATTTTTGGCCTCTTTGAGGAGACTGCCTTAGCCGCCTTCTTATCCTACTGCCCCGGTATGGACGTGGCCCTAAGAATGTATCCTTTGAAGTGAGTACCAGCTTTTTATTTTGGGGTTTTTTTGTGTGTGTGGGGGCAACTTGTTGGCATCTGAAGGGCTGGGCGGCCTCTGATCCAGGACTCTGATCCAGAATGTCTACATTCTCTCCCCAGGCCGAGCTGGTGGTTCTGCGCCTTTCCATACAGTTTCCTCATTTTTGTGTATGATGAAATCCGTAAACTCATATTGCGTCGTAACCCAGGAGGTGAGAGGGGGGGGCGGGAGAGATGGCTGGGGGGGAGTTATGAGGGCCTGGATGGGGTGCAAGGTTTACAGAGACATTCCTGCCCACAGAATAGAAGCTGTCAATCCCGGGGCTTTAAAATAAGGCTTCCTATTTTTAGTTCAAGATTTTTGCATTTATTGGCCATTTTGCAAACAGCCCTAAGGAAAGCATGTTTTTTCTTTGAGGAATTCATGAATTCTCCCTTATTGTCCTCTATGCACTTTGAGTTCTTTCCTTTCCATTTTTTTTCTTTCTTTCTTTCTTTCTTTCTTTCTTTCTTTCTTTCTTTCTTTCTTTCTTTCTTTCTTTCCTTTTTCTTTCTTTCTCTTTCTTTCTTTCTTTCTTTCTTCCTTCCATCTTTTTCTCTTTTTTTTCTTCTCTTTTCTTTGTTTTCTTTTTCTTTCTTTTCCTTTTTTCCTTCCTTCCTTTCTTTTTCTTTCTTTCTTTCTTTTCTTTCTTTTTTTCTTTCTCTTTCTTTCTTTCTTTCTTTCTTTCTTCCCCCTTTCCCTTTTTCTTCTTTCTTTTTCTTTTCTTTTTTCTCTTTTCTTTCTTCTCTTTTTCTCTTTTCCTTTTTTCCTTCCTTCCTTTCTTTTTCTTTCTTTCTTTTTCTTTCTTCTTTCTTTTTTCTTTCTTTTTCTTTCTTTCTTCCCTCCTTCCTTTTTTCTTCTTTCTTTTTCTTTTCTTTCTTCTCTTTTTCTTTCTTTTCCTTTTTTCGTTCCTTCCTTCCTTCCTCTTTCTTTCTCTTTCTCTTTCTTTCTTTCTTTCTTTCTTTCTTTCTTTCTTTCTTTCTTTCTTTCTTTCTTTCTTTCTTTCTTTCTTTCTGTTTTTTCCTTCCTTCCTCCCTCCCTCCCTTTTTCTTTTCTTATCTTTCCCCCCCTTTCTCTTCCCTTCCTCTCATTCTTCTCTCTTCTCCTTCTTTCTTTCCGTTCCTCCTCCCTTACTTTCCAAACGCAAGGCTCTGTTTTACGGGTAGACATTGGGGTCCTCTTATCCACCTTGCAGAACCGAGATCCATGTCTTCAGCCATTTCCCCCCGTTCTTCCTGACTGGCTGATCATGATTTTCATCAATTTCATCATCTTACCTAGGTGGGGGGGGGGACGGGGTATAAATAAGGATCAACCGAAACAGACAGGAGGGCTCTGGATCCTATTTGAAAAGGGAATGGGGGGGGGGAGACACAAACGGCCATCTGGTAATGAATGCCTAATGGATATTCGTTTTGTTTTTTTTTACAGGATGGGTGGAAAAAGAGACCTACTACTGAATCTCTTCCTGTGTCCACTGCTGGTTGCCTCCCCTGCTGTGGGGGGGAATCTTGACCCTCCCAAACTAGTCCTCCCTCCTGCCCCCCCCCCCATGACTACGAGAGATTGCAACACCAGAATCACATGCTGGGACAGCGGAACAACCAACCAAGCCCTCCACCCCCACCCCTTTTTCCCAGCCCCCCTCCCCAGATGGGACACCTGGCTTGTCCTGTCCTGCATGCATGTCCCAGACTGGACACAGGGGAGGGGAAACCCCCCCCCCAAGCTCCATCCCACCTCTCAGCCACTTCTGCTCTCTGCCGAATTCTGCTTCGGTTTCTAGAGGCAGGCTGGGGAAGAGGGTCCAGGTGTGGGAGAGGGGGAGAAAAAAATATCCTGGGGGGTGTGTGTGTTTATGTGTTGATCTTTCTTGACCTCTGCAAAACCTCTAACTCCAAGACTCAAATTCCCTTCCGGAGCTGGGATTGAACGCAGGGACCAGCCACTTCGAAAAAACAGCTTGCCTCGGAGATGAGAGCCAAACAGGGATGGGGGGTTTTTGGGGGGTGAGTGCAGGAAGAAGAAGGAGTATGACCTGGTTAGCATTAGTACGATGTTAGATTGAGGGGAGCTGACTCCCTGCTCTCCTCACCCCCCGCTCACCTCAGCCGTGCCAATGTGCTCCCCCCTTTCCCCTGTGTGCGTGTGGGTGGGTGTCTAGGGGTGATTGTGTGTGTCTGCCTGTGTGCAAATGAGGAGCGACAGAGGTCAGGGGTGACTAGCTTCAGGGTCCAGCAAAGGTTCCCGGGTGTCCTCTGAAACGGTTCGGTTTTTAGACTAAGAAAAACGGCGGGATTTTTTTTTTCATGCCTCTTCCCTTTAAGCCAGGGAATCTCCAGATTCGGCCATTTTGAGACTTGTGGACTTCAACGCCCAGAATTCCCCAGCCAATTCCCCGTTGGAGGACTTCCACTCTCGGAATTGGATGCGTTGGCTGGGGGAATTCTGGGAGTTGAAGTCCACAAGTCTCCCAGTGGCCCTAACCCTTCAGCCTGACTCTGTAGATGTGTAAATGAAAACCGAAACGGGGTGGGACTTCTTTTCTCGTGCATGTACATTTGCTCTGCTAGCATCATGGCAGCAGTTTAAACCACCTTCCCTCCAGGGGTCCGCAGCCATCGGAGACCCGACGGCCTTCGGGTGCTTGCCCGTAACCCAGGGGAGGGGGTGACGTTTCGGGCTGTCTTCCCACTGGTGCTTAACTTTGCCCCCTCCCCTGGGTCTGACGCGCTCCTGTTTCTTGAGCCTGCGACTTCAGCCATAGCCCCTTCCCCAAAGAGACCCCCCTTCTAAACAGAGGGGCAGAAGGGAAGGCATCACTCACTCCTGGTGGGTTGAAGGCCGGTTTGATCGCGCTGGGCCTGTCCCACCCCACATCCCATCAACCTTTATGTTATTTGTAAGGTGGGAGGCGAGGGGAGCAGGGACATAAATGTCAGGTGGGTGTTTTCTGTCCCATCTCCCCTTCCCCTTTCGGGATCGGTGTCGTCGTGTGAAACCAATCAACCACCACCACAACAACCCAACCGATTTAACAAATAATTAAAGAAGTGGAATATTTAATATGAGATATGTGGCCTGCCTCATTGTGTACGCCAGGCGTTTGGGTGCCTATCCGTTGCAAAATAAGAAAAGAGAAGAGATGGGAGACTCTATTTACCCATAATGCAGAATGCAGGGGATGCACTGAGGCCATAAAATTGCAGGTTGCACGGGATCAAAGCAGAGAGCTGGAAGAGAACTTCCAAATCTCTGGAAGATGGAACAGGAAAAATACAAAATGGGTGTGCAGTTTGAAGATAACCGTGATCTCTAGGACAAAAGATCTGGACAGGGTTCTCAAAAGACTTCCCCTGCAACGAAAAACCGTGTGCAAATACTATGATTATACAGGCAGCCCTTGACTTAACAACCACAATTGTGCTTCAAAATTTCCGTCGTTAAGTGAGACTTTTGTTAAGTGAGTTATGCCCCATTTTACCACATTTCTCGCCTGGAGTTGGTAAGTTAGTGACCCGGTTGTTAAGTGAATCTGGTTTCCCCATCGATTTTGCTTGTCAAAAGGTCGCAAAAGGGGATCACGTGACCCCCAGGACACAGGGATGGTCATCTGAATTTTGATCACGTGATCATGGGAAGGCTGCAAAGGCCGTAAGTGTAAAAAAAGGTGATAAGTCAGTGCCGTTGTAGCTTCGAACGGTCGCTAAATGAACTCTTGTAAGTTGAGGACTAACTGTAAGCTGCCTAGAGACACTGAAAGCGAATGGGGGAGCATATAAATTTCTCTAACTCTAAATAATAAATAAATCGTTAAAATCAATACAATCTGGAGCCAGCCACTCCTTAAGTGACCCATAGTCCTGACTCTGCTGTAAGTGAAGCTGGAGTTGAAAACTGTGTTTATTCCACAATTCTGCATTCCTCTGAATAGCAGCCCAAGGCGAAAGTGCGTAAAATGGCCTTGGAATTACATTTTAATCAGAATGGAGCTGGAAGGGACCTTGGAGGTCTTCTAGTCCAGCCCCCTGCTCAAGCAGGAGACCCTATATGCCGTTTCAGGCAGGTGGCTGTCCAGTCTTAAAAACCTCCCGCGAGGAAGCACCCAAAACTTCTGGTGGCCAGTTGTTCCGCTGGTTAATTGTTCTCACTGTTAGGAAGTTTCTCCTTAATTTCCAGGTTGCTTCTCTCCTTGATTAGTTTCCATCCGTTGCTTCTTGTCCTGCCTTCTGGTGCTTTGGAAAATAGGTTGACCCCGTCTTCTTTTAATCTTGCTTTCGGGGGCTTTGGAAAATAAACTGACCCAGAGTTGATTTTGCTGAAGACCATCCTCCATCTGGTTTAGAGCTGGCTATAAGGGGTAGGGTGGGAGGGGGTGAGCAAGAGCAAACAAGCATCCAAGGAGGAAAAGATTAGAGAGAATTTAGCGTTGTCAGCCTTGTAGTACTTCTTATAGTCAACCTTATAGTACTTCTACTCTGGAAGCTTTTCCGAAATTTTACCTCCGTTCCCCTTGAAGGCCAATATCCCTTCACCCTTCTCGGTTTAGCAGTCTGCTGCATTAAGAGGCTGCTTAATGCATTTAACGTAATTGGATTAGGGTGTTGTTGTTGTTTTCCATCCAGGGTTGGGGGGGGAGAAAGAGGAGGAGGGGGGTCATAAGACAACTGAAGGATGGAGAACGAGACACAGACTGCCGTGGGGATGATGCCCCCCTGGCCTGGAGTAAGCAGTCTTTAAGAGGCCTTGCAAAATCAGGGTTGAGAGCTGCTCACGTGATCCCACCTCTTCGGCCTCTGAGTCAGGGCTAAAGATGAGAGCACTTTATAAATGGAAACTGTGGACATGGAAAGAGTGAAGAAAGCATGAGGGAACTGCAGAGTGAAGGACGGAGGACAGGGAGAAAGACTTTCAGGTCACCAGAAAGAGAAGATTTTTAAAAAGCAAGCCACCATTTTTCACTTAGAATAGAATAGAGCTGGAAGAGACCTTGGAGGTCTTCTAGTCCAGCCCCCTGCTCAAGCAGGAGGTCCTATACCAGTGGTGGCGAACCTATGGCACGGGTGCCACAGGCGGCACTCAGAGCCCTCTCTGTGGGCACGCGTGCCGTCGCCCCAGTCCTAGGCCTTCAGCTGGGTTTTATAAAACCTTTTCGCTTTAGGCCTCCGCCACCGTGTGCAAAAAAAAAAAAAGGTTCAATCAATCAATCAATTTCAACTTCTCGCGGGGAAAAAAAAGATCTTGCAAAGTTGGAATTGATTGATTGAACTTTTTAGTCCCACCCAGTCTGCCATTACCACCACAGCCATGCACATCCAATGGGCCACACCCAGCCAATGGGCCACACCCACCCGGCACCCGACAATGCATAAATGGGTTTTGGGTTGCAGTTTGGGCACTCGGTCTCTAAAAGGTTCACCATCACTGTCCTATACCATCTCAGTCAGATACTGAGAAGAAACTGGACAGCCATTTGTCCAAAATGGTATAGGGGTACTTGCCTGAGCAGGGGCTTGGACTTGATGACCTCCAAGGTCCCTTCCAACTTTATTATTATTATTATTATCGTTGTTAATTGTCCAGTCTCTTTTTAAAAACTTACAGCGATGGAGGGCCCACGATTTCTGGTGGCAAGCTGTTCCACTGGTTGATTGTCCTCACTGTCAGGAAGTTTCTCCTTAATTCCAGGTTGCTTCTCTCCTTGATCAGCTTCCAACCATTGTTTCTCGTCCTTCCCTCTGGTGCTCTGGCGAACAACCTGACCCCCCTCTGCCTTGTGGCAGCCCCTCAGATACTTAGTCCTGATCCGTAATGTGGCCAGTTGCCCCAACTTTGATTAGCTTCAGGCCTTCCTCATCTGCTTCACATATTTAAAATAAGAAACCAATTTAGCACCCTTCTTTGGAAGGACTTGATAAAAATGCCTCATTTTGAATTAACTAAATCCCACTTGATTAAAAAAAAAAACCAGGTACCACCCAAGATGCTGGCTTTCCCAATTTGTGGCCTTCTAAGAAGGAGGAATAATAACTCCAGAATTATAAACGAACATGCTAACAACTGGGGTGAGGGGTGTGTGTGTGTAGTTCATCACAATTGATGGACATCTGACTGGGAAAAGTCAGGAGTAAGTGATTGGAGCACAGTTCCTTAACCTTTGTTGCTTGAAGATGGGTGGACTTCAACTCCCAGAATTCCGATGGCTGGGGAATTCTGGGAGTTGAAGTCCACCCATCTTCAAATGGCCAGGGTTGAGAAACACTGCACTGGATGCAAGTAAAAGACAACGTCCATTGCAAAAGGAAGAAAGGGAAATATCTGTTTGATATTATTTGGAAATTGTTAATGGAATGGGAGGAAGGCCCATAAATATTTCCATTTTTTGCAAAAGTTGGGCTATCACATCTGGGCTGTAAACACCTAAATGACTATAGTATTGTACAATAAATCATTTGCCATCTGGTGGCCATTCCAGGTATTGCACCTTCTGGTGCAATATATATATATATTTCCCACCTTTATTATTTTTATAAAAAACAAAAAAACCTCAAGGTGGTGAACACGCTCAATATTCCTTCCTTCTCCCATTTTCCCACAACAACTCTGTGAAATGATCCGGACTGAGAGGGACTGATTCAAAATCCCCTAATCGGCTTTCAGTCTCCTGCTGAAACTTTCATGCCTAAAGGAGGACTAGAACTCACTGTCTCCTGGTAATTGGCCCATAGTCATCCAGATGGCTCTGATGCCTAAGGTGGAATTAGAACTCACAGTCTTGTGGTGATTGGCCCAAATATTCATGTCTAAAGCGGGACTAGAACTCACTTTCTCCTGGTGATTGGCCCACAGTCACCCAGCTGGCTCTTATGCCCATGGCAGAATTAGAACTCATAGTCTCCTAGTGATTGGCTCAAACATTCATGCCTAAAGCTAGGGACTAGAATTCTAGTCCCCTAAAGCGGGACTAGAATTCACTGTCTCCTGATGATTGGCCCATAGTCATCCAGATGGCTCTTATGCCTAAAGTGGAACTAGAACTCACAGTCTAGTGGTGATTGGCCCAAATATTCATGCCTAAAGCAGGACTAGAACTCACTGTCTCCTGGTGATTGGCCCACAGTCACCCAGCTGGCTCTTATGCCTACGGCAGAATTAGAACTCACAGTCTTGTGGTGATTGGCCCAAAAATTCATGTCTAAAGCGGGACTAGAATTCACTGTCTCCTGATGATTGGCCCAGTCAGCCAGCTGGCCTAAGGCGGAACTAGAACGCATAGTCTCCTGGTGATTGGCCCAAAGTCATTCAGTCATTTTCATGCCTCAGGCAGGACTAGAACTCAGACCAAACTGGCTCCGGATTGCTTTGGAGGACCAGAGAGTTCCATAACAAAGGATTCAGAAACAGAACAAAGTCAGGAAGCCCAGCTTGATGGAGAGATTGAGATGCTCTATGACAGTGATGGCGACTCTTTTAGAGACCGAGTGCCCAAACTGCAATCCAAAACCCACTTATGCATCGTCAAGTGCTGGGCGTGGCTGCGGTGGTTCAATCAATCAATTCCAACTTTGCAAGATCTTTTTTTTTCCCGCGAGAAGTTGAAATTGACTGATTGAACCTTTTTTTTTTTTTTTGCACACGGCGGCGGAGGCCTAAAGCGAAAAGGTTTTATAAAACCCAGCTGAAGGCCTAAGACTGGGGCGACGGTGCACGTGCCCACAGAGAGGGCTCTGAGTGCCGCCTCTGGCACCCGTGCCATAGGTTCGCCACCACTGCTCTATGATTCCTGATGAGACTAGACTACCAGGCTTTCATAAACACCTTTAATGAAGGAAAAACAGCCATCTGCCAGCGCAACTTCTTCTACTTAAAAACCACAGCTGAAAAACTTTCCTAATGTTTTGTCGACATCTTTCTTGCAACCGAGTCTGTGGGCTTAGGCGCTGATCCGATGGAGAAAGCTGGACAATTATTGGCCACACTGGCTAAGTTTACGGAGGACAAATTAAATACACCAGGAAGGCGTCGCATTATTATTAATCCTCTGAGACATTTCTCTCTCTCGCTCACATTACAGAGGCCGAGTTTGCCCCCCCCCCACAGTAGACTTTGCCCCACGAAAAATTATCCTGGAAGCCATGGAGACGTCCCGCTACAATGAACAGGACAGAATGATCTCATCTGGAATGTATTATCTGTGGCCAGAACGTTAGTCATGTGTAAGACTAGACAGTTTTAAGCTCTTAATTTCCAAAACTGAATAATGCCGGATAGGAAATGGAACGTGTGACTTAAAGAAAGGCCGAGCCGAAGCAGAGACAGAATCGCGAGCTGTAAATTAGCAGAGCATGAAATGGAACATGTAAATATAAGGCCTGGAGGCTAAAACATACGAAGAACGGCTGCGGGAATTGGGTTTGGCTGGTCTAAAGAAAAGAAGAAACTGGGGTGACGTAATAGCAGTGTTTCAGTATTTGAGGGGCTGCCACAAGGAAGAGGGGGTCACGTTATTCTCCAAAGCACCAGAGGGAAGGACGAGAAACAATAGTTGGAAACTGATCAAGGAGAAAAGCAACCTGGATTTAAGGAGAAACTTCCTGACAGTGAGGACAATCAACCAGTGGAACAGCTTGCCACCAGAAATTGTGGGTGCTCCATCACTGGAGATTTTAAAGAAGAGGCTAGACAGTCACTTGTCTGAGATGGTATAGGGTCTCTTCACTTCTGGGTTCAGCAGAAGTGCCAGCATCAGTGCTGCTTTCCAGCTGATTGGTGCTTCTTCAGGGCTCAGCAGAAGCACTAGGATTCAGCGCCGTGCTTCTTCTTCTTCTTTCTTCTTCTTTCTTCTTCCTCCTCCTTCTTCCTCCTCTTCCTCTTTTCTTCTTCTTTCTTCCTCCTCATTCTTCTTCTTCCTCCTCCTTCTTCCTCTTCTTTTCTTCATTCTTCTTCTTCCTCCTCCTCATTCTTCCTCCTCCTCTTCTTCCTCCTCCTCCTCCTCCTTCTTCTTTTCTTCTTCCTCCTCCTCCTCCTTCCTCCTCCTCCTCCCTCTTCCTCCTCCTCCTCCTCCTTCTTCTTCTTTTCTTCTTCCTCTTCCTCCTCCTCACTCTTCTTCTTCCTCCACCTTCTTCTTCCTCCTCCTCCTTCTTCCTCCTCCTCCTCCCTCTTCTTCCTCCTCTTCCTCTTCTTTTCTTCTTCTTCCTCCTCCTCCTCCTCCTCCCTCTTCTTCCTCCTCCTCTTCTTCTTCCTCCTCTTCCTCTTCTTTTCTTCTTCTTCCTCCTCCTCCTCCTCCTCAAGGGAAAAAAACTGTCCAGTTGCCTTTTGAAAAAGCACCTTTGACTCCAACGGGGCTTGAACCCCAAAATATCCCAAGCTATTCGAAGTATGAAAACACAAAATCAGACCGTGTGAAGAAAAAAAACCCAAACCTGGATTAATTTACTGAATCGACGATCCAGCTTGATGGTTTTCCTTTTTCCTTTATTCCATCTCTAGCAGGCAGGCAAACGCAGCAGCCATGCAAAATGTCTGCGAGATGTTTTATTTTGACGCATCCTTGCTGAACAAGCGGCGGACCTTGGGAGGAAACTCAGCAGAGTCATCAGGTAATGTAATGTTGATGTAATCCTGCGGGTCACCGCAACCTTGGCCAACGCACGTTTAAAAAACACTCAAAAGGAGGTGTGGATTAATGTCAGCGTTTTCTTTAATGTTACCGATCAGAGACATAAAGAGGCTGAATGCAGAAGGTTCCGGGCTACTGGGGAAGCGATGATGGCGTCTAAAAATCTACAGAGGGAATAATTTAACAGCAGCATTCTTTTATATACTCAGTGAAAAAGCTCATGGCCAGTGGGAATAAGAGGCGAGGAGATATCTCATATCTGAAGAATCAGAAATGGAAGGGCAACCTCGGTAAGGTAGCCACCGAGGGTTTTCAAGACTTGGGAGGAAATTGCAATTTAAGCAGGCATATTGAGGTGGAATGAAATAGCAGCGTTGTATACGTAGGCAATGTAACAGCGATGGGGTAGGGGAAGGGAGAGATGGACGACGAGGAAGTTCTCCAGCTTTTTACACGGGCTCCATCTGCAGTTCATCAGTCTCCCCGGATTCCAGTTCGTGGAAGGCGGCATGTGAACCAATGACGACCAACGTGGCGCCTGCAGAGAACAACAGAAGACACAATGGGAAAGGAGGCCACGGGGTGATCTCTCTCTCTCTCTCTTCCCCATCTAAGTCTTTCTCTTAGAGGCCCTAAGGATCTCTTAGGGCAAAAACTGGATGCACCAGAGTAGAAAGGAAAGATTCAGACACACAGATGGCCTCGGAAAACCTACCGAGGAAATAAGAGGGCTGCAGTTCCTGAGAAGGAACTATTGTAACGTTTAAGGTATTCGCCCCCATTTTCAAGGAGAAGTCAGCATATGTCACCTAGTTTGGGAATGAAACGTGCAGAAGAAAACCACCAAACTCAGAGAGCACCAAGGACCCCCACAGTCCTCCTCCTCTTCCTCCTCCATTCTGCAAACCCCACTCCCTGATGGTGTTACCTAGTTTGGTCATGAAACGTCTGCAAGAAAACCACCAAGCTCAAAGAGCACCAAAGACCCCACTATCCTCCTCCTCCTCCTCCTCCTCCTCCCACCTTTCTCCTNCCCCCCCCTCCTCCTCCTCCTCCTCCTCCCACCTTTCTCCTTCTCCTCCACTATGAAAACCCCACTCCCTCCTAGCACTGATGATGTTACCTAGTTTGGTCATGAAACGTCTGCAAGAAAATTCACCAAGCTGAGAGAGCACTGAAGACCCCACTATCATCCTCCTCCTCCTCCTCCTCCTCCTCCTCCCACCTTTCTCCTAATCCACTATGAAAACCCCACTCCCTCCTAGCACTGATAATGTTACCTAGTTTGGTCATGAAACGTCTGCAAGAAAACCACCAAGCTCAAAGAGCACTAAAGACTCCACTATCATCCTTCTCCCTCCTCCTCCTCTTCCTCCTCCTCCTCCTCCCACCTTTCTCCTTCTCCTCCACTGTGCAAACCCCACTCCTTCCTAGCACTGATAATGTTACCGAGTTTGGTCATGAAACGTCTGCCAGAAAAGCACCACGCTCAGGGAGCACCAAGGAACCCCCAGAACAGATGCGTGCTGTCCTCCTGGAGCGGCCTTTTCCTCTTTACTCACCCAGCACCCAAAAGACAGCTGAGCCGGCACCCGCCAGCCAGAAGAAAGGAAAAGAGACAGCTCCAGCCAGACTGTATTGATGGGCTGTGCTGAGTTCTCGCCCTAGAGGGAAAGACGGTGAGTTAGAAAGCAGGCTGGGTTTCAACTGTTAAAAAAAAAAAGAGAAGGTGGCAGTCTCGAATGCTCGGCTGAAGAGATGCCGGCCTTGAGGTCCCATTTTTGCTTTCTGTGGTTTAGCATCTCTACACAACAGAGCTGGAACCTAGCAAAAGCAAGGGATTTTGTGCCAGACTGACTCTGTTCTTGTTGGGTGCAGCGCCATCTTGTGGCTATTCTGGGAAATGTAGCTTTCAAGGACTTGCTGACAAGAAATTACTTTCAAGTTACAGTCGTGGCCAAAATTGTGGAAACCTTTTGGGAAAAGTACACAGTAGAAATGCCACCTTTGGTAGCTTTCAACAAGCAAGGAGATGGGTGTTTCTTTTTTTAAATTGTAGAAGACATTAAATAAGAGGAAAAAAAATAGAAATTTGTGTTATTATTGCACGTTGCACTGTGGGGACAAAAGATTTAAATAGAAACACAGCTTCTAATATTTGGCTTTTAATCTGGTTTTACAGGGGTTTATATTTTTATGTTTTGTATTTGTACTGTTTTAATATGCTGTGCACCGCCCTGAGTCCTGCGGGAGAAGGGCGGTATATAAATTAAATTATAATAATAATAATAATAATAATTGCCACTTACCAAGCAGAACAAGCTGTGACTGTTGGGTCTTCAAGTACATGATGTAACACGCCCCAAAGAACACAGCAAGTGCAATCAGAAGTAATGGCGATGTGATGCTAACAGGCGAGAAGGAAAGACCAACGGGGTTAAATGCATCATGAAACAACATGGAAGAACAAAACCAATTTTCTTGCTAGTTCCACGAAATTAAAGTTGAATTTATCACAACCTGGCTGAACCCATTACAATTAAGAATGGAAGACCTCTGTACAAATACACTACTTGTATATTAGGGTAGTGTATTAATTTCTTTACAGATCTTCCTTGGTGACTATTTTTCTAAAAGCTCTACAAACTAACATTCTATCAATCTTTGTGTCCGGGAACAAAGGGGGAATTATCTACTAGATCCTGAATGCTCCCTTGCATGACTGGGTATAGGCCGTTCGTAATCTTTTTCCATGATGCATATTGTAGACAGAATTTTATCCAAACAGGCCCTGGATCAGTGACCTTGCCAAGAAAAAATAAGAGTCAGGCATCTGTACCAAACTGAGATTACATCAAGATGACAAAATGCGTGTGGTAATGTCACAATGCCAAGTTCTCTGGATATACGTGCGTCCCAATGTCTGATGCAAGAATGTAAGTTGTCATTTTTGCTCATGACGAATGTGTTGTGGTTTGACCCTTCCTTATTTCCCTACACACTGATGCCTGTGGGCACAGACTGAGACTCTTCTGCTTATCTCTTTGTGTCTCTAACGTACAGCTTAGTGCACGGGCACAAACTACAGCTTAGGCAATACATTCCCCTCCCTTCATTCTTTTTTACAATTAGGTGCTAAGAGCGTCTTCTTGAAATGCAAGTTTCAAAGAAACAAGAGTTTTGATGGCACCAAGATGCTTTTTCAGGAGGCAACTGGACTTTCTTGTTTTTTTCTTTGAAGACGTTTCGCTTCTCATCCAAGTAAGCTTCTCCAGCTTCTTGGATAAGAAGCGAAACGTTTTTAAAGAAAAAAAATAAGGAAGTCCAGTTGCCTCCTGAAAAAGCATCTTTGGGGCAACCATGATTTGGATGACTGAGAATCTCCATAGGCATTTTGATTGTCCAGTTAGGACGGCCAAAGGTGGTTGACTTTTTCAAGGGATTGTCCCTGGCTTCAGGAACTTTCTCTGCACAAACGAAGGCCTGTGCATCCTCAGTGATGTTTGCAGCACCGAGTCGGGAGAATTCATCTCCACATAGAAGTAAACGAAGAAGCCATCCCATCTACTCACAGGCAATAGACGATCAGTCCTAGGAAGACGAAGACGTAATTGCTCTGGAAATATTCCACGTTGCGGACAAGACGTTTACACAGTTCCCCAAAATTCTGAGGCTTTGCAAAACGTTTCTGGTCCAGGAAGTTGGCCCAGGGGCGAATGGTAGCCCTCCGCTGCTCTAGCCATTCCTTAGCTGGGCCTTGGGGCAAAAGGGCTGGGATGTTGATCCTAGAAGGGACAAAGTCAGAAGGCCAGGAAAGAATTAGAAGAATGTTCTTAAAAATAAACATGAAGGAAAAAAAGTCCAGTTGCCTTTTGAAAGCACCACAATCAGGACCTGGATGACTGAGTATCTCCATAGACAGGTCAGTACCTTAGCTCTTTTTAAAAAGCAGTGTTCCAACTCTGGGGACAACAGAGTTGTCCTCAGAGTGTTAAATTACAATTCCTCTTAAGGAATTTCATTCAAACAGAACATAGAGACAAGCACATAGAGATAAACAACATTTATATACCATCAAAATGCCAAAAAGGACCCAAACATCTCCTCACCAGCAATCAACACCCAGCTGAGCAGAAATTAACACCAAGGTTAGCATCAGACCAACAATAAAAATAAATAAACACTACCCCAATCAAGGAACTATCAACCCCGACAAATAAGCTAANAAAGACCCCACTATCCTCCTCCTCCTCCTCCTCCTCCTCCTCCTCCCACCTTTCTCCTTCTCCTCCACTATGAAAACCCCACTCCCTCCTAGCACTGATGATGTTACCTAGTTCGGTCATGAAACGTCTGCAAGAAAAGCACCAAGCTCAAAGTGCACTAAAGACCCCACTATCCTCCTCCTCCTCCTCCTTCCACCTTTCTCCTTCTCCTCCACTATGAAAACCCCACTCCCTCCTAGCACTGATGATGTTACCTAGTTTGGTCATGAAACGTCTGCAAGAAAACCACCAAGCTCAAAGAGCACTAAAGACTCCACTATCATCCTTCTCCCTCCTCCTCCTCTTCCTCCTCCTCCTCCTCCTCCCACCTTTCTCCTTCTCCTCCACTGTGCAAACCCCACTCCTTCCTAACACTGATGATGTTACCTAGTTTGGTCATGAAACGTCTGCCAGAAAAGCACCACGCTCAGGGAGCACCAAGGAACCCCCAGAACAGATGCGTGCTGTCCCCCTGGCGCGGCCTTTTCCTCTTTACTCACCCAGCACCCAAAAGACAGCTGAGCCGGCGCCCGCCAGCCAGAAGAAAGGAAAAGAGACAGCTCCAGCCAGACTGTATTGATGGGCTGTGCTGAGTTCTCGCCCTAGAGGAAAAGACGGTGAGTTAGAAAGCAGGCTGGGTTTCAACTGTTAAAAAAAAAGAGAGAAGGTGGCAGTCTCGAATGCTCGGCTGAAGAGATGCCGGCCTTGAGGTCCCATTTTTGCTTTCTGTGGTTTAGCATCTCTACACAACAGAGCTGGAACCTAGCAAAAGCAAGGGATTTTGTGCCAGACTGACTCTGTTCTTGTTGGGTGCAGCGCCATCTTGTGGCTATTCTGGGAAATGTAGCTTTCAAGGACTTGCTGACAAGAAATTACTTTCAAGTTACAGTCGTGGCCAAAATTGTGGAAACCTTTTGGGAAAAGTACACAGTAGAAATGCCACCTTTGGTAGCTTTCAACAAGCAAGGAGATGGGTGTTTCTTTTTTTAAATTGTAGAAGACATTAAATAAGAGGGGAAAAAAATAGAAATTTGTGTTATTATTGCACGTTGCACTGTGGGGACAAAAGATTGCCACTTACCAAGCAGAACAAGCTGTGACTGTTGGGTCTTCAAGTACATGATGTAACACGCCCCAAAGAATACAGCAAGTGCAATCAGAAGTAATGGCGATGTGATGCTAACAGGCGAGAAGGAAAGACCAACGGGGTTAAATGCATCACGAAACAACATGGAAGAACAAAACCAATTTTCTTGCTAGTTCCACGGAATTAAAGATGAATGTATCACAACCTGGCTGAACCCATTACAATTAAGAATGGAAGACCTCTGTACAAATACACTACTTGTATCTTAGGGTAGTGTATTAATTTCTTTACAGATCTTCCTTGGTGACTATTTTTCTAAAAGCTCTACAAACTAACATTCTATCAATCTTTGTGTCCGGGAACAAAGGGGGAATTATCTACTAGATCCTGAATGCTCCCTTGCATGACTGGGTATAGGCCGTTCGTAATCTTTTTCCATGATGCATATTGTAGACAGAATTTTATCCAAACAGGCACTGGATCAGTGACCTTGCCAAGAAAAAATAAGAGTCAGGCATCTGTACCAAACTGAGATTACATCAAGATGACAAAATGTGTGTGGTAATGTCACAATGCCAAGCTCTCTGGATATACGTGCGTCCCAACGTCGGATGCAAGAATGTAAGTTGTCATTTTTGCTCATGACGAATGTGTTGTGGTTTGACCCTTCCTTATTTCCCTACACACTGATGCCTGTGGGCACAGACTGAGACTCTTCTGCTTATCTCTTTGTGTCTCTAACGTACAGCTTAGTGCACGGGCACAAACTACAGCTTAGGCAACACATTCCCCTCCCTTCATTCTTTTCTACAATTAGGTGCTAAGAGCGTCTTCTTGAAATGCAAGTTTCAAAGAAACAAGAGTTTTGATGGCACCAAGATGCTTTTTCAGGAGGCAACTGGACTTTCTTGTTTTTTTCTTTGAAGACGTTTCGCTTCTCATCCAAGTAAGCTTCTCCAGCTTCTTGGATAAGAAGCGAAATGTTTTTAAAGAAAAAAAACAAGAAAGTCCAGTTGCCTCCTGAAAAAGCATCTTTGGGGCAACCATGATTTGGATGACTGAGAATCTCCATAGGCATTTTGATTGTCCAGTTAGGACGGCCAAAGGTGGTTGACTTTTTCAAGGGATTGTCCCTGTCTTCAGGAACTTTCTCTGCACAAACGAAGGCCTGTGCATCCTCAGTGATGTTTGCAGCACCGAGTCGGGAGAATTCATCTCCACATAGAAGTAAACAAAGAAGCCATCCCATCTACTCACAGGCAATAGACGATCAGTCCTAGGAAGACGAAGACGTAATTGCTCTGGAAATATTCCACGTTGCGGACAAGACGTTTACACAGTTCCCCAAAATTCTGAGGCTTTGCAAAACGTTTCTGGTCCAGGAAGTTGGCCCAGGGGCGAATGGTAGCCCTCCGCTGCTCTAGCCATTCCTTAGCTGGACCTTGGGGCAAAAGGGCTGGGATGTTGATCCTAGAAGGGACAAAGTCAGAAGGCCAGGAAAGAATTAGAAGAATGTTCTTAAAAATAAACATGAAGGAAAAAAAAGTCCAGTTGCCTTTTGAAAGCACCACAATCAGGATCTGGATGACTGAGTATCTCCATAGACAGGTCAGTACCTTAGCTCTTTTTAAAAAGCAGTGTTCCAACTCTGGGGACAACAGAGTTGTCCTCAGAGTGTTAAATTACAATTCCTCTTAAGGAATTTCATTCAGACAGAACATAGAGACAAGCACATAGAGATAAACAACATTTATATACCATCAAAATGCCAAAAAGGACCCAAACATCTCCTCACCAGCAATCAACACCCAGCTGAGCAGAAATTAACACCAAGGTTAGCATCAGACCAACAATAAAAATAAATAAACACTACCCCAATCAAGGAACTATCAACCCCGACAAATAAGCTAA